TCTTGTGTTTGATGCAGCCCCTGATAGGGGGAGATCTCTTGATACTCAGGTAGCTCATCAACAGAACAGTCAACCACTTAATCAACAAACTCATGTGCATCAAGATGTGCACAGTGCAGATGCAGCAAATGCAGATTCCAGTGCAGATGCAGCAAATGCAGATTCCAGTGCAGATGCAGCAAATGCAGATTCCTGTGCAGATGCAACAAATGCAGATCCCAGTTTACCTGCAGATGTGCATACTGCAGCTCCTAGTACATCTGATACAGTTCCTAATCAAGCTGATGTTGATGCTGATCGTGTTGAAAACCTTGACAATGCAGAAGTTGAAGAAATGGATGAAATGTTTGACAGTGTATTAACAGCTGATAATGAAGCCGGTGAAGCTCCTGATGCTGGCTTAACAGAAACTAACCTGAGGAGATATGGGAGAACTACTAAAGCACCACTATGGCTTGAAGACTACGTTACAACATGAAAGCAAAAGGACATCATGTATCCACTATCAAACTACATTTCTTATCACAAGCTATCTACACAAGGCAGGAAGTTAGTAGCCAACATTTCAGCAATCATAGAACCACAAACATTTCAGGAAGCTTCAAAGGATGAGAGGTGGATAGAAGCTATGAAACTGGAGATCAAGGCTCTAGATGACAATAATACATGGGAGATAGTTGATCTTCCCAAAGGCAAAAATGCAACTGGATCAAAATGGGTATACAAGGTAAAATATAAAGCTGATGGTGAAGTTGAGAGGTTAAAAGCAAAACTAGTTGCTAAAGGTTATAGCAAAAAAGAGGGGTTGGACTATCATGAAACATTCTCACCAGTCACTAAAATGGTGACAGTCAGGTCTGTCATTGCATTGGCAACCTCAAGGAACTGGAATATTTTTCAAATGGATGTGTATAATGCATTTTTACAGGGAGATTTGTTTGATGAGGTTTATATGGAGCTTCCTCAAGGCTTCAGGAGACGGGGGGAGACAAAGGTGTGCAAACTAGTGAAATCCTTGTATGGTCTAAAGCAAGATTCAAAACAGTGGAACATAAAACTGTCAGAGGCTTTGGTTGATGCAGGACACTGTCAAAGCTTACATGACTATTCTATGTTTACTAAAAGAGAAAAAGGTGACGTAGTGGTAGTGTTAGTATATGTAGACATAATGATGAATAGTGGAGCAGCAGATAGCCTCACTAGTTTCTGTGATACAGATTGGGCAGCATGTCCCAATACTAAGAGGTCAGTCACAGGATTCCTAGTTAAATTTGGCGACTCCCTGATCTCTTGGAAGTCAAAGAAACAACAAACTGTGTTGAGGAGCTCAGCTGAAGCAGAATACAAAAGCCTAGCTGGAGCAACTTACGAAGTAGTTTGGCTCTTAGGGGTATTTGCAGAATTGGGAGTGCAGATCAAGTAACGTGTAGACATGTTTTGTGATAGCAAGGCAGCACTTCAAATTGCAGCAAATCCTATTTTTCATGAACGAACCAAGCACATAGAGATTGATTGTCACTTTATAAGAGACAAGATCAAGGAAGGGAAGCTAAAAACACATTATGTGGGGACTAAAGAACAACAGGCAGACTTGCTGACAAAAGGGCTTGGGAAAGTTCAGCACATATACTTGTTAGGCAAGCTAGAAGTGCTCAACATTTTACACCCTCCAGCTTGAGGGGGAGTATTGAGATTAGTAGTTGATTGAGCAGTTAAGTTGTTAATAGTTAGTTGACAGCTGGATGTGAGCTGTCCATTAGTTGGTTAGTTAGGGGATTTAATTATAAATAGGGATGTACATGTGTATTCCGTTAAGATCAATACAGCTGTGAGCTTCTCTCCCAAATATCCTCTCTCTACTTCCATGGATAAACTGTGAGATAGAGCTTCATACAGTGAGAAAATCAACAATCCACGTTCCATGTTGAAAATAATGGATTCGATCAAACCAGTAACTGATAAGCTACATCTGTCCCTGCAGATAATTCATATGGCCGATCTCAACTAGTTTGGGGTTGAGCTATGGTTGATTGATTAAAGTGCATTAATGGTGTGGACATGTTAATAATTTCTATTACGTGAAACAATATGTCTCTCTTCTAGATTGTGTTTTGTTGTAATGCAACTGTTAAGAGTAATGTGGAAGATAGGGAGACAAAAACCATGGAAACAAAGTGAATAATAATGCAAGAAAAGAGTGATATTGCTCACTCTTTTTTTTAAGTTGATATACCTTTTTGACCTGTGTTGTATTGTATGTTCTTCGTGGCTGATATGGAAGATTCCTAATTCTCAGGTCTGCACTTTCCGGTTGGTTGTGAAAAATGCTTCTTCTTTGCTTGCTGACAAGGACCCGGTAAAGTTAGCAGCTGAGACCAAGCTTATTGATCTCATAAGGTAGCCTGTAAAACGTATTTTGTCTTCAAGAAGCGGGTTGATCTGTGTGCATTTCATGGTGGAAGTTGTATTAGCTGTTTATTAGCAGATGTTCTGGAATATGTTTTTGTTCTAGTAGCTTGGCAGCTTATCTTACTCTCAGTACCTGCTGGCGGCTAAAACATCTTGCTGGGGAAATTTCATATTATGTGTTTCCATGGAACTATCCTTATTACTTACTATTTAGTTTCTATAAGGATACGAAGGATGTGTACATTTACTGCCTGTTTGCCATATTTAACGTGCTCTGAAGACGTTAAAAGCTAGTCTTGAGTTATTACGATGAGACATGTATGCACATGTTTGTTTAGACTGGAGAGATTTGACAGAAATTTTGTGACACAATATTTCTGTATTTCATGGTTGTGCAGGTCTTTTGCTTCTCTCAGTGACATGGCAAATGAAATTGATGTGCAAGTTGCTTCTAATAGGTATATGTTTCTTCTCAAAACTTGAGTTGGTTTTTTTCAAGTAAATTTTTTCATTTATATTTGACTGACAAACTTGATAACAAAGTTAAATATTTCATGCTTACTTTGTCCCTGTCTTATGGCATGGACCTGCTTTACTTTTTTACAGGCAAAAGGTCGCAAATGCTCTCATGGATACAGTCACTTGTCTGGACAAGCTTGAGCAAGGTGTCAAGGAATGCCTAGAAGTTTGATGAATCCTTATTCAAGTCAAAGAAGGAACAGGATGAATTCTGCATTTGCCAATTTGGAGATGCTTTTCATTTAGGTTTGGAAGGGCAAAAAGAAAAATTGTAAAATAGGTTGTACATCCATTTAATGTTCAAGTTTATTCTTTCATTGTTTTGATTTTCTCCTGTTAAATGCACATTACCTCAGTTGCTATCAGTTATAGTGAGCAGACATATCTTCACTTTCATTGAAATTACGAACAAGCAAATTATGATGCATAAAATCAACTTTGCTATTGTTTTTCTATGTGAAGAAGTGATGGTATTACAAGTTTGATGCTCTTTGCTCTACAAGGTACATAACCTGCATCAACTTTACTAGATATTCTGCCCACTTCATATAGTGGACTGAGTTCATATTAGTTCTTGCCTCATGATACAATTAGCCAATTAGATGGTCTATGTGATAATGGCTTTGTGGTAACTATATAATGGCAGTAAAAGACTAAATAACAGAGCTTGGAAGGTTGTTCTCTTGGAGCTAATGTGTATTGTATGGAAGAAAGAAATCTTGGTATTCAATGGGATTAGTAACTTTTTTCTCACAAAATTTTCCGACTTTTTCTCTACTTTCTTGGAGCACATAGTGCTCACTGTAGAAAGCCATATTTATGTCCAAAACTGCCTGTCATTGTATACCTTTACAGTTTCTCCCTTTCCAGCACTATATTCATAATTATTAAAAAACAGTAATATTAGATATATTTGCTTCTTGGTTGTGTCGGCAAAACTGTCCAACATTTGTTAGTGGTACCATTAGACTATTGAATTTCTTGCCGAACTTGCTCAAATCTTCAATAGATTGATATGATAGTTATCTAAGCTGCATTGACCTCTTAGGGACTAGATTTCCAACGTGATATAGTAAAGATGATTCTTGTGAAGTCCAGGAAATGATATGCAAGCAAAACTTCAGGAATGCCTATACCTACCAAGTAGTATGTACAGAGGGATTGGATTATGCTTATTTATGCGCCAACAGAACTGAGAGACTTGAGTACATAGGATAAGAATATGTATCATGAGAGTTGGATTATGCTTTTTTAAGCGCACCAAACAGAACTGAGAGAATTGAGTACATAGGGTAAGAAAAGAGAATTGTTATATATGAGAGTTTCATCTTCAACAATTTATAAAGATAATGAATTGTCCATGTCCATGGACATTTCAATGTCAGAGTCAGCTCGACGATTTCAGAAGTAAAATCTGTAGAAACTGGCTATTTGTACATAAAGTGAACTCTATGAGTTATGCTGAGTTTTTGTCATAGTTGACAATAGCCACTCTTGAGATTTACTCTATACAAATGAGTGATTAGCATTTAATTTGAATCTCTTAACTGCATTGATGGAATATATCCACTTTCCACATGGGCTATCAACTTTTCCAACTGAATTATGATTTGTATGATATACTCTTCTGATGCTTATTTGCTTATCAGGGCTGACTAACTGTTCTTCAATTGTATTTGCAAATAGTATGTAACTTGCCTCCACTGACAGGATGAAACATTCAACTTTTAGCAATAGTACAAAGAACTGGAATCACTAACTGTCTACTGGGTAATTGCAAGTTTGGCAGTAGTCACTAAGTTCAATACTGCACAAAGAAAGTGTTTTTCAGGTGGTAAATTGCTCACTCTTATGGAGCTTCTCTGTTTCTTAATCGCCAATTGGTCATACTGCCAAAGGATGTTTTCATTTTATGTTTTATACATAATGTTTCAATGTATAGCAGTTGCTTCTTTAAAGGATTCTATGTTGTTCGAGAAATAGAACAAACTTTATGTGAGATTGGGCAAATAGTGCGCTGTTGTCTCTTTTTAAACTCTTGCAAGAGTTAGAAGTTGGAGGGGAAATAGGGTGCTTGAAACATGATATCATGAACCCCTTTTAAGAACCACCTAGATCTTGAAAACATATAAAGTGTACTAATCACAGCTTAAATGACATGGTCACACATATAGCTAATTGGTAAGATGACAGTTACAATCAATGAGGAGTGCTTCTAATCTTAACAGCAAGTTAGACTTTATTGGTGAACTATTATTAGAATATTCACAAAATAGTTTGATTTGGTGGCTCTCCAGAAGCCTGAAGCAAATACAACCTACAACATGGTGTTCCATCATCTGGGTGGGTTTGAACTGACCTGGGCAAGTTGCGCAACTTGTTGAACAAATTTAGTGGGTCATGCAACAGCCCAAAATGGGCATCTGGGTCACCAATTTGAGAAAGTTTAACATCAGAAAATCCTAGTGATGGCAATAACTGATCAGGATAGTCACTATAGAAATGGAAATTTGAGCTGGACATTGTGGTTGATTGCTTGTTCATGAAGTCAGCTAAGAGTACTGTATGAGCAAAGGCACGGTTATTTGCGATAATCTTCAGTACTTCCATTGCATTTGAGTGCGAGAGATAGTAGAGAATGCCCTCTAATACCCACACTGTGTTCTTATTTAGCTTTAAGCCTGATTCTTGAAGCTTTTCAAGCCAGTCCTTTTCTCTCAGGTCAGCTGCCACTCTGTTCAATGATTTTACCATCATGTTTTGCTCGTTTGTTGCCTCTGCTGCTGCCTCTAAAATAGTGGTTTTTATTTGCAGAACTTCGGGAAAATCAACTTCAAAAATATTACTGTCTTTCAAGCAACTCAAGCGATATGCCCTTGTATCCATACCTGCAGAAAAAGAACAGACATCACTGGTTTGCTCTATAACATTTTTGCTAAATGAAATCGAATGGCTTCTGAGGGGTGAGCAATGAAAATACTAGGGGAAATATGCATACCCTCTTGTTGTGGACAATCTATGTCCATTCAGTGTTCAATCTCCATATTGAGGCCATAACTCGTAGGAATTAAATAACATTCTGTTTATCTAATATTAATGGATGTGTCAAATTACCTAGTTGTTTACTTATTTTTTCTAGAACTCTTTTATCTAAACATAGTCATAGTTGCTCCTAATGAAAAGACTACTAAATGAAAGATTAAATTTTTTTCATCGGACAAGATTAGTGTGTTGCCAATTGATGGCTAGTATTTTGTAGATTCAGAGCTGGAATATGTTGCATCTTGTTAACGTTAGCTGGTATATGGATCTAGGAGGATGAGAACTTTTGGAGAATCACTGACATATTAATTTCCTGTAATGGGGTGAGTGACAATTGATCAGTTCAGTGACTGGCTACTAACAGGGGTGTATGCAGGATTTTGCATAAGCGATATCAGTGTATTGTCACATTTCAGACTTGTAAGTTTATTTGGATTTAGGACTGGTTATTTTAAGGCTTTACATCCGGTCCCAATTTGATGTTGTGAAGCTGTGTCGGAGGACACCTCTTGTCCCTGCCACTGGCTACTAATTACTAAATGAAAACTAGTCAATTGGCATGGAGTTGCAAGAAGTATACATCTCTATATCTAAAATGTCACAAGGTCTATACAGCGCAAGAGATCATGTTGAAACATCACTTACCTGCTCCAAGAATGACAACTTGTGCTCCTCCTCCATCAAAGGAATTAAGAGCTGCTTCAATTCTTTTGTCAAACCATAGTGTCCTAACAGCAATGATAACTCCAGAAACCTCTCTAGCGCTGTTGAGGATGTCTTTCTTAATCTTCTCATACAACTTCTTCAGGTATGTCTCTCCTGCAAGTAACTCTGCTAATGGATCATTGATCACATGTTTCCATAGTGCCCTTCCTGCTGCAGTTTGACGTGCCGATTGTCTCAAAGAATCCCAATTTTGCTCTATTTTTGAATGAATTTCTCTGATGGTTTGAGTGTACAAAGAATCAGGTAGTATAAAATCTGGCAAGCTACCATTTTCTTGATTAGACATTGTTATGCTGATTTTTAGTGACTAATAGAAGGGAAGAACTAAAGAGATAAGCCATGCAATGTATATAATAGAAACAAAGAGTAGTGTTGAGAGGAGAAAAGTTGTTATTAGGGATAAGGAAAGACAGCCACACACAACCAACGTCTGAGAAAAATAGTTCAATCGTGTCCAGCTATTCTCTGTGTTAAGTAAAGGAAGGTAAAGAAGCAGGCCACGACTACCATCAATTTTCAGGCCTTTGTACTACTAATTGGTTCTTTCCCCCTCTTAACAGTATCTTTAACGAGTTAGGAATTTTTTAAATTAAAAAAACAGCATATACTCGATCCAACATGTTGGTCTAAGACGGCTGAAAGATACTCTTAATATAATAGTGTAATATTGTCCGCTTTCGACTAAGCTTATACGGTTTTCTCCAAAAAGCTTCACATTATTAATAGTATCATTACACCTTATTTATAGCTTCTTTTTCTTATAAACTTGCAAATGGAAAAACTTTATTCACACATCCAATAATCTTCCTCTCTAAGTATACCATAATCCATCACCAAAACTTATAGGCTTATTTAGGAAGCCACGAGCTTTTCGTATCTAGATAGCCATGAACTTCTTCTTGTGTGTGCGCCTCCAAGCTACGGGACAGTAAATGGGTAAAGACAGCTAGCATACCAGCTTGCAAATGAGTAAAGACAATAAGCCGGCTTTTTTGCACCATCTCTATATTCTGATACAAGTTATTGGGCTAAAACAACTCAAATATACTCTTAATATGGTGTAATATCGTTAGCTTTGACTAAGCTCACATGATTTTCCGAAAGGCATCATAATATAGTGTGATATTCTCTTATCAACTTTCAGAGACCTGTTCACAAACCTAACAATATCATCAAGGGTGGATGTAGATTTTTGAGCAGTAAGTGCAAAAGCACGACCACTAATTTAGGGCCAAATTATATATTCATAAATAATAGAGATACACATGCATATGTATACTAACCATATGCCCAATAACAGAGCTAAAGTATAGAAGGAGGTCCAATTCAATCCCTTTCTTCTAAAAATTGTATTGTGCACGTACGATAAAATCAATTTTCTTTTGCATATGATTGAATCCCCTCTACATAAAGTGATCTTTTTAGATATTGGTTTTACATTATTATTTTTTTGTGAATCCTCTTGGTAGAATTTTTGGTTTCGTTACCGCATACGCCTATTAAAAAATAGGTAGGCGCAATTATCCACCACATGTGGTCTATTAAGAGAGAAAGGTGGTCCAATATTTTTCTGGCTTATGATCAAGTACTCATTTGTTGCCTTTGGTTGCTAGATGCGAACCTTTTTTGTGTCTTTGATAGGTTATCTGTTTTTTTGTGCACGGTGAGATAGCTCCATTGTTTGGAGTTAGATTTTGACTTGGATAAGGTTCTTGGAACGTTATATACATATTTAGTCTATGAATTCACTAGTCTTTTTCTCAATATCATGTGTATTTCATGAAAAGTTTAACACTTTTGCATTGGCATGATATGCACTCCCTCCATGAGCTCATATTTATAACTGTACTCACTTATAAACACACACACAAAACACAGTGGAAAAAACTATAGTTCAAGTTATTGAGACAAATGCACAATATTGTACAAAAATTGATATAACTATCTAGACGTAGTATTTCAGAAATAAAAGTTTGAGCATTATAATATACATGTATATTGACATTCTAAGCCCCTAAATTCCTAATTATAAAGCAACGAATATATTTTGTAACGAACAAAAGGAACAATTCAAGACGTAAAGCGCATTTGGGAAGCTCTTGGTACATATATAGACGTGTACGTGGCAAACAACTCATCTATACGAATAATTTGTCTTTAATTTGTGATCTAAAACGTAACAAATCAACGAAAACAGAAGCTACTTAGCGGTAGCAGGAGTTTACTGTAGCAAATATCAGCAGATTAAACACACTATACTTGAATCAAAATGAATAAACATACTTCATTAAGAAAAAAAGGATGAAGAAACTCGAAAATTAAAACACTTATCTGCTGATTTTCTTTTTCTTGATTTTTGCACTGCACATGATAGACAAATCAAAAATAAGTAAATAAATACTTATAGACGTGGTCGACTTCCCAACGATAAGAAAGACTCTACTAGACAAGGGTCTGATACATCCTAGAACACTTTAAAATCTATATGGATTTTTCTCTTCCATAGTATCATACCTTTAGCTAAGTCTTCATCGATTCCAAGAATCTATAGATTTTTCGAGACAACTTGGTGCAATATGATTTTAGGTCCACCTCATTCCTTTTTCACACTTCCAATAATAAAGAGTTATATACTTGATCACGTCCAATTCACACCTCAGTTAAGGAATATGAAACGATCGTTATAATAAAAGACCCAATGCGAGTCGGGGTCGAATCCACCCGGAGTTTAAAATAGGTGTTGAGGTAAATACTTAAGAGAGAAACTCGAAATAACTAGATTTAGCTTCCAAACAAAAGTGGGAACCAATTCTTCTAAATTAAACTACTAAGAAATTTGACTAACTAATGAACAAGTAATGTTTGAAATGTTTTTGAAGTTTTATCAAATAGAGAAAAGCCTAGGGTTGTAACCTTAACCTAGGTGTAAACCTAATGGGTAGAGTAAATCTATGCTTGCTTGATAGATCGGAGTTTGTTATGACTTGCAATACACACGTACTCACTCAATACCTCTCGGTTAAAGAGTGATTATGCCTAAATTGGCTCTCTCAAGTCCAAATAAGTAACAATCAAAACAATTGAATACCAGTCCAAGTTAGATTATCCCCATCTCTAGTTCAAATCCTTTAATTAAACTAATCGATACTTTAACTAGTTCAATTTCTTGTTAGCAAATTTTTCTAGACTAAATTCCTCTTTCTCAAGTAAGAACAAAGTCAAATAGGAATGAATCAATCTTTGCAACCATTAATTCTAACTATAAAGCATAAACAAGGCTAAATAACATTAACTCAATCAATAGCAAGCATTAATATTAAACACATATTACACAGTAGGGTTGGAGCACAACCATTATAAAATCTAGCTACGCATAGCAATGGACATAGAAAAATGAAAAGAAGAAAAATAACTACCAGTCGATGCTACAATACAAAGAGATGTCCTAAAAAGGTGTTTCACGTCTATTTATAGTGCTTCTAAATTCCTAACAAAAATACCCTTCGGAGGATTTTGCGGCCGCACTATATATATGGTCCGCACTTTGCTAGGTTATTGATGCGAGTGCTTTCAGTTGGATGAGTTCTGAGGACGCACTTTGAAGAGGCTTCAGACTTTGTTCGGTTGCATCTTCTCCAATCTTTCAGGATCGTTAGTGCGAACCTGTTTTGCGGACCAAGTGTGACCGTGCTTTTTGGTTTGCGGATAGCACTTCTGCCGAAATTCCCCTAAGCTCCAGATCTTCGTCTGCGGCCGCATTTCATTTTCTGCGGGCTGCATTTGTTTTTGCAGCCACATATAGAATTCTGCGGACCACACTGTTCTTTGCACACTTCCTCTCTGCTGATCTTAGTTGGAACATCTCCTCTTTGAGATATATTTTTTTATTGAGATCACATTCTCCAGTGCACCTGCAATTCAAACAATTTCATTAGATTTGGAGACAAAAATCAACACTTTTAGACTAAAACTAAAACAAGAAGGTACTAATAAATGTTTAAATCCACACTTACCAATACTTAAACGAAAAGATTATTTTCTCTTGCACGTTTAAATTTACAAGAAATACTTCTGGAATCATAGGTGGGCGGATTCCTTATCGGGTTTCTCGTAAAATTAACTACTGAAAATAATTTTATATTTATTTTATTCTAAAATGATGAGTAGGAATGTGCTTCAATTACATATAAAACTACATGTAATTAACATAACAACTTTTTATTTCTTATTATGGCTAAATTTTGTAAAGTTATTAAGTTTTCTCATAGATTTTAGTAAAATAGTAGGGAAATATTGAATAAATCAATATATGGGAGAACGTATTTTCTCTCAGAATGGACAAAGTTTGAGTTGCAGTGGTGGAGCCGCATGTATATAAGAAGTGACATTCTATATAATTCAAGGATCGACATTATTTTATCAGAAAATTTTATATATATATATATATATATATATATACCTTTTAGCTTCTTTCTTGATTTACTTCTTTTTATTGACTCCCTTAATGGAAATTTTGGTTCCGTTGTTAGTCGCGGGAAGAATATTTTGTGAGTTTTGAGGCTCAACTTGGTCAGCTTTACTTGTACAGTCCCCAAAACGTATTCCTAACTACACCAGGGATATAATCTAGCCTTCTACTTAACTTGTAGTATGATCTAACAAAATCGTGATTAAAAAGGAGAGGGAAAAAAAAAAGAGAATGAACTTATAGTTGATGTCTACTTACCAAGCCATCTTGCCTTTAACTATAAAACAGGAATTTAAGACGATTTTTATATTTTCGTGTCCTATAACCCACGTTATCTGCATGAATTTTTGTATTCGGCCTCGAATCTTCTAAAATTTTGCGGACCCATAAAAAATGACCTAATGAATAATAATCATCACTTCGCCATGACCGTTCCTTATTTTTGGCATTTTAGGGCCATAAAACAGGAATTCAAAATAATTTCTAGATTTTCGTGTGTTATAGTCCACGTCATCTGCATGATTTCAGGCGACCAGTCCCAAATCTCCTTAAATTTTGTCGGCCCATAAAATATGACCTAACAAACATTAGTCATCACTTCGCCATGATCGTTCTTTATTTTTTTGGTGTTTTAGGGCCATAAAACAGAAATTCGGCACGATTTCCAGATTTTTATATGTTATAGTCCACGCCATCTGCATGAATTCAATCGACCAGTCCCGAATATCCTAAATTTTGCAGGCCCAATGAATAATAGTCATCGTCATGACCGTTCCTCATTTTTGGCATTTTAGGGCCATAAAATAGAAATTCAGGATGATTCCCAGATTTTCGTACGCTATAGTTTACGCCACCTGCATGAATACGGGTGACCGGGCGCGAATCTCTTAAAATTTGCGAGCCCGTCAAAAATAACTTAATAAACAACAGTCATCGAATCGCCATGATCGTTCCTCGTTTTTTAGCGTTTTAGGACCATAAAATAGGAATTTAGGACGATTCCCAAATTTTCGCGTGTAA